TTCCATTTAAGTGGCGTGGATGTGAGATCGGTGAGGGTGAAATGAGCTTTGAAGATGACCAGGAAGGTTGGATTGAACTTTTGGGCGATGGCGATATTGTTGGGATGATGGATCACCTGCTCTGGAGAGCTCCATTTCCGAGGGCAACGGATTGATGGCTCCGTTTGGACAGCCAGTGATCTGTGCGACGAATGGGATGGCTACAATGAAGAGCAGTACGAATATGAGAGGAGGGCCCGGTGGGGTTGGTGGTAAATGGTGCATGCCAGGCAATGGATAGCTTGTTCCAATGATTCCCAGACGTCTATTTGATGGGTACAGTGAAGAGGAATATGGACAAGAGAGCAGAGCCCGGTGGCGTGGGTGGTAAATGGTGAATGCTAGGCAATGGATAGCTTGTTTCAATGATTCCTACATGGTCTATTTGACCCTAGTCCGAGGTAGTCTGCCAAAATCCTCCCTGGCTGACCGAGTGGGTGAGAGACACGAGGTCATCTGATTGCTGGGTTGAACAATGACCCCGGGTGATACCGCATTAGGAAGCTCAGTCAATGATGAAACTGATCAGGGTTTCGATCCTCGCCAGGAGTAGTTGGGAGGATTATTTTTTTATTTTGCTCCTTTTGTATATCAGTCCTTCACTATTAGAGTCTCTTCCCGCTCTTCCCTCGGCTTATGCTGGGGTATAGCGGTAGATTGGCTCTATCTAACAGGGGGATATTCTGGGAATAGTCATATTGCTTTTGTTTATCTTCTATTGAACCCCTCTTGGGGCTTTTTGGTTCTCCTTTTTTCTCTTCTTTTTTGCTCTTTGCTAACTTGTCTCCTGCTTTAGTTCAAGTCTCCTGTTCATGAGACCTTGAATAACACCACCGAGCAATGTCCTATATACAGGCCTGCACCAGAAAGTAGGCCAATTGCGATTCTATTGACGGAGGAACTCGACTGTCCAGCCTGTGAAAGACCAAATATTCGAGGGCATCTACACCTCGGAGCGTTTAGGCCCAGGCGCCCACGATACTCATGCAGAAAGCACCCAAAAACACCAGAATGCAGGCATAAACCCTTTTCTTCCCACGGAGAATGCGCCAGCTCTCGTCACTGAGGAAGTCTTCCGACATCAGCTCCACCAGCGAGGCGAAAATCAAAAGTCCAGCTGATATGGCATTCATCACGCCAACAACAAGTAGACCAACCTCTGAGTCGGGGCTGTAGAGTGTATGCGTTGCGAGGCCAATAGCCTGCCCGATTGGGGTTCTAGGCCTTTGTCAGCACGATTGAGTGCGCAGCGAGGGGAAATTGACTTACGTGCATCCGTACGCAAGGGACATGATCCAGGGCTGGATTTGCTTTTCTGACCAGGGAAGTGAGGCAATGCGGGATCCGAGCGCTAGGCCTTCGAATGTTTCTGTAGTTGATTTAGTCAAATGCACTGCTCCGATAAACTATACGGATACGGAGAACTCACGATGGAACACAATGGCAATCAGCAGAATCACAAATTCACTGCCAACAGATACACTGAGTGACATGCCGATAAATACGCTGTGGAAAAGAATGCCCATCTCAAGAAGGTAGACCTGCATGGTCTCTTTCTTCTGCTTCTGCTCAGGCGTTAAGCCGAAGGTATCGTCATCGCGCTCCACGTCTGTCTGGATAGTCCCGTTATCCTTCTCGTGATGAGTTCGAACATCAGACGCTGACGCAACTCGAACTACATCTTCAGTGCCTTCGCCCATGCGATTGATAGCTCGGCTTATGCTCGCCGACCTTCCAATTAGCGGACCCATGTCTCGCAAATGTCGGCCATCCATGCGAGCGGAATGTGAGCTCGGAACTCTAGAGTGATCGGGATATTTAGGGACATCAAGGGTTGGAATTGGAGCTGGCCTCGCATCCGCAGGGCGCGAAGCTGGTCTTTCGGCATGGGCCTTGTTTCCTCCACGGCAGATACTCTGGGCTGGACTGAATACCATTTCGATGACTGTAACGAGGAATATACCACCCAAGGCAATGGCTCCTGGCATGGCTGGGTAGTCCTTTGTCCAGAAATTGGATAGACATGGGTCTCCCAGCGAAGTAAACGCCGTCGGAAGGAGATGCACAAATGCTGTGGCGATGAGGACACCGGTTCCAAAATGAGTGACGAAGAAAAGGAACGCGGGTGGGATATGCATTCGTGGGAATCGGGTTGCAAGGATAGGGAATGCGCACGCAATGCTCGAAGTGGCCAGGATGATGAAGAGAGCGGCAACGTGCAGAGGTAGGTCGTACGCCCCGTGGGTACCTCCCTGAGCACAACTTGATCGTTTGACTGGCTCTGTATACTGCTGTGTAACAGGTGCTTCCAGTATGAGGGGTTGTTTAGGTGTGAAATACCGCTTCAGACTGTCGAAGGAAATGACTGCCGAGACAAGAAGCACGGAGAGGAGCCACAATGCCCAATCCTTGATACTCTGATATGATGGGAAAACATTGTCATTTGAATTCAGTCCTTTGTGACCGGTTCCAATGTTTTGGGGAGCGAGGCGTCCTGTTCACTGGTTAGAAGGTTATTGCTTAAAATATATGCTTGATGTCCATACCTGACTTTGTCAGGGACGCCTCGCACCCCGTGCCAAGGTAATTCCCTGCATCCTTTTCCTCTAGTGAAGGAATGTCCTTCCAATTAGAGCTTGCACGTAAATTGCCTGGACTAGACTCATCGTCTCTGTTCTCGCGGGCGTTTGAGATGCCATTGAGGTCTTGGCGGGTAGTCAGGTCGGGAGAAAGGAAGCGCGGGTTCTGATTCCATCCATCGTGCAGCAAGGTGTCGTCAGTTCGAGATGGGCAATTCATGATGTGATAGTCTACAATGTTGAATCGTGTTTCTAACCTGACTATCTCGCCTCAGGGTAACAAGTGAAAATTATACCAATTCGCCCCAAATGGGCAGCAGGCAGCATCCCGAGGGCTTGGCATGTCGTGGACCTCCGGCCCGATCTTCCTTGGCAATGGACCATCAACTATCGCCGTGATTCGTCCAGATAACATATTCGGTCCGGTGTTGGCCGAACCACCAATAACCACGAATCCTGGGGGCGAGATGCTTGCGCGTTGCCAGCCCTACGAAGTCTGTGATGTGGAACCGAGCCTACTAAAATAGTCCAAGGGGTCCTCAGAGCGATAGCTCCGGCAAGACTGATCCAAGATTACTACGTAATGCACTGCCAGGGCCCAATGAGGGTCAGTTTCGGGTTGATAGCAGGAAGTAGTTGTTACAAGAGCGCAACAACAGTGAAGATTGGTATTCATATTACATATTTTTCTTTATAATCATTTTGCCCAGGGAGCCTTGGTATGCACATCCGCATTTCCATCCTGTGAAGGCGAAGGCGGAGGCTGAGCAGACCAAGGTGCTCTGGTGGGTGCCATGGGGCCGGGAGGCATCCTTGAAGTATCTGGAAGAGCAGAAGGAACTCTGGTAGTGCCGCTAGGCGTCGAGCTTGGGACCCCCTCTCTTCTCACCCCGGCCCATGGGGCTGCTGTCGAGCCCATCGGGGGAAGAGCCTGAGTGCCAGCTCCAGGCATAGGACGGGCAGCGGCAACAGAAGGGTGGCCAGAATCCGGCGCAACAGGTCGTGCCTGAGGACCAGATGTTGTATGAACCGTGGAAGTGGGCAGAGGCGCATTTGGATCACGGTCCCAGCTGAACAGAGACCCGAAAGGGAAGTGCTGTACCACGGGGAATTTCGAGAGCACTTCTGCGTTGTACATTTTGATCATTCCCTGTTATGACCCGTCAGCGAGAACATCCCCACTGATTATCAAGACTGCGAACCTTATTGATCTTGCCCCAGCCAGCTCGAATGCCAGAAATATCGAACAACATGGGGCTATGCTCCCAGAATGGGCCTCTCTTCACGTCATAAATGAAACCGACAGCGGAGAAATATAGATTAGTTTGGCGTTCCCTTTCAACAATCTTTGCATTGGCGACACCACCTGGGTCAGGTGCGTTGAGCAGTGAGCCTTCTTCGGGAGTTAGGTCATTATCATTGATTGCCGGCGATAATTGGGCAGATCCAAAGATATAAGGGGCGAAGGAATGATCATCAAGACCCCAGACGCCATGGGAGCCAGCAGGCTCAAGGTTGTATGTCTTAATGAGTAGTCTGACAAGCTCCAGATAACTAGATGACGACAGTCAGTAAGGGACTAAACATATCCGGCGTGGCATATTTTTGATGGACGCACGGATGGATCACCCCGACCACGATTGCTCGTTCCTCCACGCCTGGACCGCTCTTAGGAAATCCATTCAGCCTCCATATTCCACCCAGGAAAGCCAGGAAGCTCAGTTCATGACCGGTACCATAGTCCAACCGCTGGCCACTTCCCCAGCTGCCCAAGAAATATGATTTCAACTCTGTCTCCGCCGTTGCGCCCTCATCCGATGAGCACATATTCAAAAGGTTGGCCGGTAGGCATTCCTTCAGCAGGTCGGATGCGCGACTTTCGACCACCTCAGTCCATCTTCGAAAGCTTATATTTCCAAACCTCCGCGGGCCGGTATCTGGTGGGACCTCCTGTATGATGTCTTCGAGTTTCGAGAGAAGTCGCTGCAATTGTCGGACTTGAGCGGAGTATTGTATCGCATCGCTGTTGAGAGTCCACGTCTGTGTAGTACCATCGGCCACCTTCAGTGGAAACATAGATCGGTTGAGTTGTAGTACCCACGTCATGATATCAATATAGGCTTTCGAGGTCAGGAAAGTCGATACATCTTGCGACTCGTGAATCTTTTTGCTCGGTTCGATAAAGGTGTGTAGCACAGAGGAGTCCAAAGTGGACAACACGCGAATAACCGGGCCATTAGCCATGTTTGCTGAGAAAATCCGTTGGAGTGAGATGCGGGAGAGAAGGTTGGAGGGGATGCGGGATGTTATTTGCGGCTCCACCAGAGCTCCCTCCGTTACCGCGTCTTGCCTGCTTTTTGACTTCCCCACGCGTCTTCGAAGATGGCGCCAAAAAGATCCAACAGTCGATCTACCGACTACACTCTTGGGCTCCTGAATAATATCAATGCGCTCGGGCGCGACACCGCAGATATACAGGAACCCAAAAGGCGCCGCACCACCACCCATGCCAATGTTTTTGATATTCCCATCTCCACCTCCCCGACAAAATCTCGAAGGACTCCTCAAACTGAACCAAAAGATACGGGTCGGTTGAATCTGAGAAACCGCACAGTGCCTAGACTCGCGCGACCGGTTTCACCTCCCAGTGCTTCCGACAATGAAGAAAACAATGAGCCCAGCAATAACGAATCCGGGTCAGGCGATGGCAAGTCCGAATCAATTCAAGATAGACCCGGTAGCAGTGTAGAGGAGGAATCGGATGATAACCGCGACGAGCTTCAGCCTGAGGCTGAACATGATCCGTTACCCGAACCAGTTGATCTGTTCCCAGCCGAAGATGAGGATCCGACTTACGACCAGGTCGGATACGAAGCTAGAAATGCACAAGGCGATGCATATGGAGATGGATCCGAATACGAGGACGAAGGAGAAGCAGACGATCAAGCTGGAGTGCAAGCTAGAGACGCACAAAATGATGCATCTGGGGATGGGTCCAAATATGAAGAGGAAGAAGAGGCAGACGATCTGGCTGGAGAGGGAGCTACATATGCACAAGACAATACATCTGAAGGCGGATCCGAATATGAAGCCGAAGAAGAGACAGACGATCACTCTCCAGCTGAAGTCCAAACCCATTCAACGCCCACCCAGCAGATCGCAAACGCAGACACTCTCGAGGTGCAAATCCTCGACAGCATACCAAGAAACAAAAGGGATGGCACACATACAAGTCGCTTGTTAGCAAATACTCAAGACTCTCAAAATGCCTCGTCGCAGCTTCAGGAAGCACCAGAGACACCAACAATCCAGTCACCCTGCCCAAATCAGGATCGTCGCAGCGCTCGCTCCGATATCTTCACGTGGTTGACAGAGACCACTAAAGAATCTGGTTTCAAGGAGACCTGGGAAGCGATCCGCAGGACAAGAAAAGCTCTAAAGGCCCATGCTGATCCCTCTATGAAAGAGCGTTTCGGGGGGATCATAAAGCTCATTCAGCGGCTACGAGGTCTGTTTGAAACAATGGCCAACGATCCTGCTTCGGCTTCTTCCTTGAAAAACCAGTGCAGTCTGATCGCCAACAGCGTCTTTAAAGAGAACCAGTGGATTATTTACACCGAAGCCCCAGAAGATGAAGATGATGGTGCACACCTAGTCAATCAGCTCGAAGCCCATATTGTTCCCCGACTGATTGACCTGATCGTACTCGGATTCAAGAACTACAAGACTATAAATGATCGGGGAGCGCGACATTTCCGCATTATCCTCGATTTGCTTTGGGGTTCTTGTGATAGGATATCTGCTCTCGCACAGATGCATTATGATATTAGTGGGAGTGTGATGGCTTATTCTAAAAGGGCGACGAAACACGTGAAGACTCTTAAGGATGCATTAAACGATGGCCGGCTATGTGAGAAATCCCATCGCATCCCCCAACGCCCTCTACCGTACAGGCATTTTCAGTTGGAAGAGGTCGACAGCCATATCTCTTGTGGACGGTGGACCTATGCAGAAAAGACAGCGCTCACTGATGGCTTACAATTATATGGGGGTAAGACTTTTCATTTCTCATTTCTCATTTCTCATGCTACTCTGACTGTATCGACAGGCGAAGATCGATACATTGATATCAAGTGTGACAACAAAATCGGCGGTCAACTCTCTGAGCGCATCCTGCCAGATATCCAGCGCCAAGCCATCAAACTTGGGTTGGATGATCCATGACCTAATCGAGGGTTGGGAGAGACAGTATGACGTGGGGGGATTGGCGACATCGTGTAGACTTTTATTTCGAATACCCTTTTCGCGTGGAGTTCATCGAGACCAAAAGCAGACTTGAACCTTTCCGGCTAAAGTATAGAAACCCAACCTTATGTGGGGTTTCCGCGAACCACAAACCGCGAACCAGACCCGTGGATTGTTTTGAATATCCATGGATGTACATACGTATCCATGCCATCGACTACCACATGTGTATTTATATTGTATCAACACATCGGCTGAAGCCTCGTTGTTATCCTTATTAGAAGTGGTACTGACATTTTTTGTACCCGATAGGTCTGATATTGGTGAGGTGGTCATGATTATAGCAGAAATTTCGTCCTTGGGCTCCTGATTCTGTTTCTGAGACATCTTGGGTACCTACGTACTCAGGTAGTACGGAGATGAGAAGGTCGCCCGGCTATGGTAATGGATACATATTTAGATACCAAGCTGCAGAGCTGCAAAGCAACTAATGAACATACAAGACTGATCTCGAATCCAGTCAAGATCGGCCTATACTGGCTGCATTGTCCGTTAGGTTTAAACACTAGAAATAAAAACGGTAAGACAATGTCAGGAGATACCCCAGATGCACGATCCCATTTAGGGGGTTTCTATAGAGAAAGCCTACAAAGTATGGAGCAGCGGCGATCCCCCCTCCTTAATCGACACCGCTTTCTTCTTTTTCCCGCTTTCCCCTTTTCTTCCCCAAAGCATCTTGACCCCATTTGCTTTCGTCAGTTTATTGCTTTTTCCTTTTTTTTTTTTTTTAGTTTC